TTTCAAAGGGTTACAAATTGGGCACGCAGGCCCATCGTACACTTGGCCCTTTGTAATGTTGGTATTTTCTCACGGGAATTCACTAAGCAATAATATTGGATTAAACCTTGAGATAGGAGAGAAATACATGAGAATGTGAACACTCGAAGAAACAGAAATACATGAGAATGTGAACACTCGAAGAAACAGAAATACATGAGAATGTGAACACTCGAAGAAACAGAAATACATGAGAATGTGAACACTCAAAGAAACAGAAATACATGAGAATGTGAACACTCAAAGAAACAGAAATACATGAGAATGTGAACACTTTAAGAAACAGAGAAATACATGAGAATGTGAACACTTGAAGAAACAGAGAAATACATGAGAATGTGAACACTTGAAGAAACAAAGAAATACATGAGAATGTGAACACTTGAAGAAACAAAGAAATACATGAGAATGTGAACACTCAAAGAAACAGAAATACATGAGAATGTGAACACTCAAAGAAACAGAAATACATGAGAATGTGAACACTCAAAGAAACAGAAATACATGAGAATGTGAACACTTTAAGAAACAGAAATACATGAGAATGTGAACACTTGAAGAAACAAAGAAATACATGAGAATGTGAACACTTGAAGAAACAAAGAAATACATGAGAATGTGAACACTTGAAGAAACAAAGAAATACATGAGAATGTGAACACTTGAAGAAACAGAGAAATACATGAGAATGTGAAAACTTGAAGAAACAGGGGATATACAAGCAGGGCTCAGACCAGCATGTGAAACCCAGACCGAGAGTTATAAGGTTAGACCAAGGCCTAATCAGTGACTATGTGTTTGGCAGCTGGCGTGAAAGGTTGTATCTGATGAACGCGTGAATGTGAAATGAATATTTGACGACGTGAAAGAGTTTCTATTCCATGAGAAGACCACAAGACGACAGCTTGATGACAGTCTAATCCCATGTGGTAGCCAACAAGTTCCAGCCGGTCAAGAAGTCGAACTGCCATGATCAGAACTGCTGGATCAACCACTGTGTGTATTAGGTGTGTGAGGAAACAGGACTGAAAGGTAACGAGTGTGGACGAGATAGGACGTAAAGTTGATGTCTGATAAATGTCATTTTATCTTGCAGGACCTGCTAGTTATTAGTAGACACTGACTGGCCCAGATCCCCTGTTAAAGTGTAATAAAAAATATTAACTGCATATCGTCTACTCATTACCAACTGTGTGAATTCACAATGTCATCTATATCTTTCGTATAAAAAAAACCTAGCACCAGTTAGCAAACAGAGGAGATAATATCCCACCCTTCCAAGCACTCATCTTTCCTACCACACTTGCATGTTACCAATATGTCATGTTCAAATACCAACAAACATAAATGAATTAATGCATACACACACATCATACACACACACAATCATACACATTCAAACATATTCTTACATGCTCAATCACTCACTCACTCACTCACTCAGTCACTCACTCATGCATGCACAAACACACGCTTGTGTGCACACATACATACATCTGTGGAGAGACATGAGTGCCTACATCACTGGGCAGTCCACACGATGATGATGATAATGTCAGGCACAAAAGGATGATTCAAATGTATTTGACTGTCAACGTGAGTAATCTAAATTTTCTCAAAGAGACTAAGGGACAAAGATGAACTGTCACAAACATCAGAGAATGCTGACATATTTTGTCAACTTTAAGATGGTTCTAGCAACGCAGTCAGGATATCTCGTGTAGTCTGTGACAGGACAGTCTAGCAATGATGTCAGGATATCTCGTGTAGTCTATGACATGACAGTTCTAGCAACGCTGACAGGATATCTTGTGTAGTCTGTGACATGACAGTTTTAGCAACAATGTCAGGATATCTTGTGTAGTCTATGACATGACAGTTCTAGCAACGCTGTCAGGATATCTTGTGTAGTATGTGACATGACAGTTCTAGCAAAGATGTCAGGATATCTTGTGTAGTCTGTGACATGACAGTTCTAGCAACAATGTCAGAATATCTTGTGTAGTCTGTGACATGACAGTTCTAGCAATGATGTCAGGATATCTCTTGTAGTGTGTGACATGACAGTTCTAGCAACGATGTCAGGATATCTTATGTAGTGTGTGACATGACAGTCCTAGCAACGATGTCAGGATATCTCATGTAGTGTATGACATGACAGTTCTAGCAAAGATGTCAGGATATCTCATGTAGTGTGTGACATGACAGTTCTAGCAAAGATGTCAGGATATCTTATGTAGTGTGTGACATGACAGTTCTAGCAAAGATGTCAGGATATCTTATGTAGTGTGTGACATGACAGTTCTAGCAAAGATGTCAGGATATCTTATGTAGTCTGTGACATGACAGTTCTAGCAATGATGTCAGGATATCTTATGTAGTGAGTGACATGACAGTTCTAGCAATGATGTCAGGATATCTTATGTAGTGAGTGACATGACAGTTCTAGCAATGATGTCAGGATATCTTATGTAGTCTGTGACATGACAGTTCTAGCAATGATGTCAGGATATCTTATGTAGTGTGTGATATGACAGTCTAGCAATGATGTCAGGATATCTTATGTAGTGTGTGACATGACAGTCTAGCAATGATGTCAGGATATCTAGTGTAGTCTATGACATGACAGTTCTAGCAATGATGTCAGGATATCTTGTGTAGTCTATGACATGACAGTTCTAGCAATGATGTCAGGATATCTTGTGTAGTCTGTGACATGACAGTTCTAGCAATGATGTCAGGATATCTTATGTAGTGTGTGACATGACAGTCCTAGCAACGATGTCAGGATATCTCATGTAGTGTGTGACATGACAGTTCTAGCAAAGATGTCAGGATATCTTATGTAGTGTGTGACATGACAGTTCTAGCAATGATGTCAGGATATCTTGTGTAGTGTGTGACATGACAGTTCTAGCAATGATGTCAGGATATCTTATGTAGTCTGTGACATGATAGTTCTAGCAATGATGTCAGGATATCTTATGTAGTCTGTGACATGACAGTTCTAGCAACAATGTCAGGATATCTTGTGTAGTGTGTGACATGACAGTCCTAGCAATAATGTAAGGATATCTTATGAAGTGTGTGACATGAAAGTCCTAGCAATAATGTCAGGATATCTTATGTAGTGTGTGACATGACAGTTCTAGCAACAATGTCAGGATATCTTATGTAGTGTGTGACATGACAGTCTAGCAATGATGTCAGGATATCTTATGTAGTGTGTGACATGACAGTCTAGCAATGATGTCAGGATATCTTGTGTAGTCTAGACATGACAGTTCTAGCAATGATGTCAGGATATCTTGTGTAGTCTATGAGATGACAGTTCTAGCAATGATGTCAGGATATCTTGTGTAGTCTGTGACATTACAGTTCTAGCAATAATGCCAGGATATCTTATGTAGTGTGTGACATGACAGTTCTAGCAACAATGTCAGGATATCTTATGTAGTGTGTGACATGACAGTTCTAGCAACAATGTCAGGATATCTTATGTAGTGTGTGACATGACAGTTCTAGCAAAGATGTCAGGATATCTCTTGTAGTGTATGACATGACAGTTCTAGCAACAATGTCAGGATATCTTATGTAGTGTGTGACATGACAGTTCTAGCAATGATGTCAGGATATCTTATGTAGTGTGTGACATGACAGTTCTAGCAACAATGTCAGGATATCTTATGTAGTGTGTGACATGACAGTTCTAGCAATGATGTCAGGATATCTTATGTAGTGTGTGACATGACAGTCCTAGCAATAATGTCAGGATATCTTATGTAGTGTGTGACATGATAGTTCTAGCAACAATGTCAGGATATCTTATGTAGTGTGTGACATGATAGTTCTAGCAACAATGTCAGGATATCTTATGTAGTGTGTGACATGTTAGTTCTAGCAATGATGTCAGGATATCTTATGTAGTGTGTGACATGACAGTTCTAGCAATGATGTCAGGATATCTTGTGTAGTGTGTGACATGACAGTTCTAGCATTGATGTAAGGATATCTTATGTAGTCTGTGACATGACAGTTCTAGCAATGATGTCAGGATATCTTATGAAGTGTGTGACATGACAGTCCTAGCAATAATGTCAGGATATCTTATGTAGTGTGTGACATGACAGTTCTAGCAACAATGTCAGGATATTTTATGTAGTGTGTGACATGACAGTTCTAGCAACAATGTCAGCCTTCTGTATTCTATAAAATGACACTGCCAGTTACAGCAGCTACGGCTGAGGACAATCAAGCACACAGGCTCCGCTTGGCGCAACACACCATCTTTGTGATTGCTCTGATACATTATTTCTAAAAACAAATAAAAGTTTAGCATTCACAGAATTTTGTGAGGGGGAAAAAATCAGTGCAAATGAGAATTGCAACTAGTAAACTTTACAAACGACAAAATAAACACTGGCCAGAAAGCACTCATTGGCATACATCAACAGGACAATGATACGACTTCACATAATCTTCTTCTTTTTCTTCGTGCTCACCAGCTGTAAACTTCGGCAGAAAGTTCTGGTTGTTCGTCCACTCCTAGACTCTAGTCCATTCCAGGACCTGAGTGTTAATGAGTTCATTTTACAGTTAATCTCATTTGCATGCAGACTGTTGGTTCTTGCCTCTCATAAAGATGCACTCCGACTTCAAAGGAAGCTCCCAATTAGTCGACACCTACAACACAATTTTTGGTAGACAGTGGGTCCATTCTTGTTCACTTCCCTCCCACCCCCCCCCCCCACCCCCTCTATACAAAGGGGCCTCGGCACCCACACAGGGAACTACATAAAGTAACTCTACTTTGGGAGAAGGAAGTCAACTCCTTGTCAAAATATTCATTCAGGCTTGAAAAGAAAGGCTAGCTGGAACATGCCCTTACTGAACAACCGGCTTGCATCGATGACAGACAACAGATAGGAAGTCACCAAGAATTTGTCAAGAAAATATGTTACCTTGAACTTCTGAACCTGTCTCCTTGTCAGAGCCTCGCCACCTACATCATCACTATCTGCAGTGGGTAGAGCTGACTGGCTGCGGGGCATGTGTGCATACTCTAAGGGATCTGCGGTGGCTCTGTCCATACCGCTGTATGTTGTGAGATCTGGTTGGCTGAGGGCACTGGCGCGTCCCGAGGAAGACCATGGCTGTCTGTTGTTGGCCCCCTGGTACGGATTATCCAACCATTCCGATGAAACATAACTGGGTGGTGGGAAAGTGGCAGCAAAATATTAGGATCTTCAAACAAGGATTCAACACTCGGGTTCTGGAAAAAGACTAAAGTTCAGAGGTGAACAAATAACCAGAAACTTCAACCAGAGGTTAAGGCAGTGAATGCAAAGATGAAAAAGAAACAAGGATTTTAATTAGTTAAAATTAATTAATATATACAAATTCTTAGAATATAATAAATTGGTGACAAAAAGAAAAAAAATATGACATTCTATAAGATTTAAATAGTGAAGAAAACTGGTTTATGAACAGCATAATGTCTTGGAAACTGAAATAATTAGGCAGTATTTAATGTCCGAGTAGTTTAGAACAAACCCGTGTTGGAAGGCAGTTACTTAAAACAAACAATGATTTCTCCTCAAGACTGCCTGAAAATTTAACTTCAAATATTGGTCTGCCATTAATTTAAAGTCAACATAATTTGTTTCATAAAATCTCAAAAGAACAAACCTCCTTCTGGTCTTGTACAGGGCCCTGGCAGATATTAAGTTTTCTTCTTCAGTAGAGTTTGAATGAACGCCGCTGTCTCGACCATTCAGTACGTGGCCATTCATATAATCAGATCTGCTGAAACTATAAAGTAGATAATATTACCAAATATTCTCATCACTCATCCAAAAAAGCAGTAGACACAACCAAATAATAGGGTCCCAATATTTAGACCAACAGGGACTTAATGCAATATGTGGTAAGTATTACCTGGTCACTTTCAACCTCCAAGGTGTAATGATGCTGGTTACAGAGTACTGCATAAATGGTATGGTTGTTAGACTAGCTAGAATTAGTCCGACATGGCAATGATCCCGTATGGGTGAAAGGGAGAGCACTGCATAGAGAATTCATGGCACCTCCACTGGTTAATGTGGATTAATTTTATCAGTCTGCGATTTCTTTTGCCCATCTCTTCACCAACAAAAACCACATGGATAGACTTCTTCTTCTGACCATTATTTCCACCAGTCAGGTCGAACATAACTGTCTTCTGCCATCTCCTGCAGATCCCCTATATTATGTATCTTTCTTCTTTCTTCTCTTTATGATTTGGTCTCCCTTTATCTCTTTCATTCTGAGGGTTCCAGTCAAAGGTCATTCTAGTTATAGGAAGTGCATAATACTGTATTTACATATATATATATAGGCCACAGTATTTTAACCGAAAATCGCTGATGGGAAAAAGGGTGCGGCTTAAATTCCAGATATCAGGCCTATGTATCACTTGTACAAAATCTATTAATAAATGGGAGTTTCCATTTACAATATCTTCCATGCTGTAGTTGTGTGTCTTATGTAACTTCAGAACATGTCTTTAAAACCAAACAGTTTCTCCTGGTGGATGTTGGCAAGTTGCTGCGCCAGTGTTATCAGCCACTGAATCATGAGGTCACTGTGTGCCAGAAAGCACCTTACTCAGCCATCACTGGCTTTAAATTCACTTGCATATAATGCACTACTTGCAACTTACATTTACAACCGTAACTTGCTCTTATGTGGCCCATCTTTCACTATTTACAAGTACTACAGTTTTGGTTTCTCAATGAAAATAACTATTTTTTCCTAATATTATCCTCTCAGAAACTGGGTGTGGCCTATACACACACGTGGCCTAGACACACACGTGGCCTAGACACACGTGGCCTATAAATGATGCAGAAAGATAGATCAAACGGTTTGCCCACTTGCAGAGAATATCTTGTGATGTCATATCATACAATGCATACATCAAAACAGGAGAAGTATATAAAACATGAAAAGACCCCCAAAAAAAAGTTAGATATCATTAAAGAAAATCTACAATAGCATGATGTAGTCATGGCAACCAGAAGAGCAGGAAGTAGAACCTTATAACTCTCTCGATACCAGAAGTGGTAAAAGTGAAAAAGAAGAGAAGAAGATCAAAGAATTGTGATATTTGGAAACAAATGATTGTTGCGACTGCTTCCACTAACCTGATGTGTTTGTCTGAGTTCAAATCCTGAATGGAGTGAAACAGATCATCGTTGAGTTGGTCCACAAACAACTGCAGCTGGTGAAGCAAGGACTGCAGGTGGGGGAAGTCTGTGTGGGTGGCAGGTGTGTGGCGAGATACTTCCTGTGGGGGAGAATATTGTTTGTTATTAGTGACAGAGAGAGTGTGTGTGCGTGCGTATGTGCATGCGAGCCTGCAAGTGAACAATGGGAGTAAGAAAGTGAGTGAGAGAAAGAGAGAGAGAGAGAGGTGGGGAGTGAGGAAGTAGCTTTGGATACGCCTCAGTGTCAGCTTGTTGATAAATGCAGGTTTCATCTTGTTCAATGTGCTCCCTGTGACCTCAGCAGGTTTCATCTAGTTCAATGTGCTCCTTGTCACTTCAGCAGGTATCATCTGGTTCAATGTGCTCCTTGTCACTTCAGCAGGTATCATCTGGTTCACTGTGCTCCTTGTCACTTCAGCAGGTTTCATCTGGTTCAATGTGCTCCTTGTCACTTCAGCAGGTTTCATCTAGTTCAATGTGCTCCTTGTCACTTCAGCAGGTATCATCTGGTTCAATGTGCTCCTTGTCACTTCAGCAGGTTTCATCTTGTTCAATGTGCTTCTTGTCACTTCAGCAGATTTCATCTGGTTCAATGTGCTCCTTGTCACTTCAGTAGGTTTCATCTGGTTCAATGTGCTCCTTGTCACTTCAGCAGGTTTCATCTAGTTCAATGTGCTCCTTGTCACTTCAGCAGGTATCATCTGGTTCAATGTGCTCCTTGTCACTTCAGCAGGTTTCATCTTGTTCAATGTGCTTCTTGTCACTTCAGCAGATTTCATCTGGTTCAATGTGCTCCTTGTCACTTCAGCAGGTTTCATCTAGTTCAATGTGCTTCTTGTCACTTCAGCAGATTTCATCTGGTTCAATGTGCTCCTTGTCACTTCAGCAGGTATCATCTGGTTCAATGTGCTCCTTGTCACTTCAGCAGATTTCATCTAGTTCAATGTGCTCCTTGTCACTTCAGCAGGTTTCATCTAGTTCAATGTGCTCCTTGTCACTTCAGCAGGTTTCATCTGGTTCAATGTGCTCCTTGTCACTTCAGCAGGTATCATCTTGTTCAATGTGCTCCTTGTCACTTCAGCAGGTATCATCTAGTTCAATGTGCTCCTTGTCACTTCAGCAGGTTTCATCTGGTTCAATGTGCTCCTTGTCACTTCAGCAGGTTTCATCTGGTTCAATGTGCTCCTTGTCACTTCAGCAGGTTTCATCTGGTTCAATGTGCTCCTTGTCACTTCAGCAGGTATCATCTGGTTCAATGTGCTCCTTGTCACTTCAGCAGGTTTCATCTTGTTCAATGAGCTCCTTGTCACTTCGACTGTTTTTATCTTTGTGATGATAAACTCAATAGTAATGGTGTACCAAGACACAACAGGGTGCAGAATTTGCATTTTTCTTTCAAAGAAACCCAGGCATTCCCTGATTCAAATAATAACAGTTACAATTTTTTTTTCAAAGAAACCCAGGCATTCCCTGATTCAAATAATAACAGTTACAATTTTTTTTTCAAATTTGCTTTATTTAATATTAATTTGGTTTGTTTATATAAAAAACATTATATACAGCAATGAGAAGAAGACAAAGTTCTTTGGTCATATGATGAGAAAAAGGGCACTGGAAAGTACGACTGGAAAGATCACTGGTAGAAGAGGCAAAGGGAGACCAAGAGAAATGATAGTGAATGGCTTAAGACAGTGGCATGGAGGAATATCATCAGTAGAAATGATTCAGAACACCAAAGACCAAGATCTGTTGAGATGCATTAACGCCTATGCCAGCTGGCAAGGCACATGATGACGATATCTAAACAAATGCCTATGTAGAATCCTGCAAATATTTTGGCGAGACAACATTACAAATTAAGAACTGAGATGGAAAACAAAATGTTCATCACTGGTAAAGGAAGAAGCAACAGAAGAAGAAGGTGAAAATGGCTTGGACATATCTGCAGAATGACTTGTGTTAGTTTGGCAAGGACAGCAGCCGGAAAAGGAGATATGGATAACCAAAGAAAACCTAGAGAAGGACAGAAGAAAGGGAAATTCACCATAAAATGACATGGTATACCACAGGCAGAAAAGTAGCAGACCAGCAGCAATGGAGATATATAACCAGCTTCTCATGGGGACAATTAGTAGAAGTACTTTGGAGTGGCAGCTGCTTCGGAGGACTGCACACACATGGGTATGCCCAATGTGCAGTGACGTCGATTGTGATAACAAAACATAAAATAACATTTGTAGGAAGTCGGCATTCCGAAACCCAAGTTCAAGGTGTCTCCTTCGTGCCAAAGAACTGCATGGCTGTTGGGTAAACAGTCGTTAACGAAGGCAGTTAGGTCGTTGTAGGTGGTGGATGTAATGTCCTAAGTCCCTTTCCCAGCTAATAGTGAGGGTACTGCTGGGGTGACCGTTTATTAACCCTCACATAATGCTTGAGGTCAAAATGGATGCTAGGCACGGCCACTTTTTTTTAGCCGCAGCAAATGTTTTTTTTTTACTTTTGCCAGGTGGTGGCCGTCGCATTTTTGCTCCATTTGTAGACTGGAAGGATATAGTTTCGTCGCCCAGCTTCTGAGTTGAGTGCATGGTGTGACACTGTGAGCTACGTGTGTTTTTCGTTGGCACAGGAGCGGAGCAACTATGGGGTGACCCGTTTGCTATGAAGCTGAAACTAGGATTACCAGATTGCTTGTGAATTTCTTATGTGTCAACAGTGACATGAAAAGGGTATATATAAAGACCTGTTTAAAAGTTAATGATAATAAAACAGCGTGTTAACAATTAAAGTACCATTTTAGGAAGTTTCAGCCCCATGTAAATTCCAGCATTCCATGTTGGGGAGAAAGAGAAAAGAGTGACTGCCCCCTTAACAAGCATGTCAAAGCAGGAAACTAATTAAGGAGTTGCTGAAATCAAATGTGTAGGGCCAAAAGGCACAGATATCACAGCCTAGCTGTTAAACCAGAACACAACATAGAAACTGCCCTTTTAACTTTTTCAGTACCAGAGGCCTGGTTAAATTAGTTAAAAAAAAATGCTTTGGTAAACGTTCTTTGGTACCCAAAAGGTTCAGGATAAATGTCAAAGGTAGTTTCCCATATTTCTAGTATTCAATGTCATTGTGATAGAGTTTGTATGGATCTATAGCACTGTTCACATCTTCCAAGATCATGCAATAACAGCTGAGGTAATCAGCTCCTCAAGACGATTTTTAGACAATTCTGAAAATTATATGGCAACCATTTTATGAGGCTGGATAAGAAAATAAACATAACCATGCCACAGCTGCAATTCCAATCGACACTATTTGTTGTTAAAAGTAAGAATGCTAGCATCCACCACACTACTGTGGTTACAACCCACTTCATCTAAACTCTGTGTTTTTGTAATACTGTTTTCAGTGATTTGTCTGGATTCTTGTTTGTTATGATGTCCTTTTCTGTTTGCGTTGTATGCTGATGAAAGCTTTCTAGCCACACAGTTAACTGTCATTGATGACTGTGGTAATGTGAAGTGGACTAGTTTATACTTCTTTTATAGATTTATATATTATTTATTTATACATAGTTTATACTTCTTTACGATACTGTAAAGTAAGGTCCCTTTTCCACGTCTTTAGGTGTATTGGGAATAGAGGGCTAGATCTATATTTGTGTAGACCAATCAGCCGGCACTTGGTGGGTCATGTGGTCAGCATCACGGTGGCCGCCTTGACTTCCTAGGACTGCACCTGGTACCAACTCAAGGCTGAGTCAACTGGGCAGTCAAGGTCATTTTTGAAAAAAGTAAGGCTCCGTTAAAACGCGACCCCACGATTCAGGATACTATAGCTATTTATAATAATACAGGGTGTGTGCATGTGTACGTGCGTGTGCACGTGCGTGTGTGTGACTGCTTCTCTGTTAGAGAACATTCATCATCATCCCGTAGCAGATACTTTACAGAATGTTGCCATAATCAAGGTCTGTCTGAAAGAAACACGGTCTCTCATCAAATCTCTAACCTCACTTTCCCACTCAAGGGGAAACTTATATCCTGTGCCCATCTTCATTCCAATCGGCCCCTGCTCCTCCTTCCTGGTACTTGCTGTTTTTTGTTTCTCCAATCCACCGTGGCGCCTTATATGGCCTAAATGTGAAGAAGTAGATGACTTACCTGTAATTGCAGTAGGAACTTAGGGACCCGGTAAATGGGTGTCAGCAGCAGGGACATCAGACTCTCACTCTGACAGCTGCTGTGTTGAACCGCCTGCAAGCCACAACATGAACAGATTATTATGAATGGGAACCCCTCTTTCTCATTCTTCCTGCCTAATGATTCTCCTACTTCTTCAGCATTCCGAGCCGTTAAGGTTCATTGCTGCAGATATCACCTGCCTTCATTCATCTCTCTGGTTGGCCTTCTCTTTCCAGTTGGTGACACCAAGTGTTTGCTGGCCTGTCTGGACATTATCTCTCCATCGTCTTCTTGGTCTGCCTCTTGGTCTACGACTATTCATCTCCCTTGTGTATACAGTTTTCACTTCTCTGTCATCTGACATTCTTTCAAAATGTCCCAACCATTTCAGCCTATTAGCTCTCATGATGCCAGTGATCAGTGGTGATTTAAACAGATTTGGAATTTTTTTGTTGCTTCTCACTCTCCATTTACTGCTGTTTGCATCTTTGATGGTCCAAAGATTCGTTATAAGACTTTGTTTTCAAAAACCTGTAATAAGGCTTCATCTCTTTTAGTTGTGCTCCAAGTTTCAGAGCCATAAACACGACTGGTCTTATCAACGCTCTTATGTTGGTTTCCTAACTCTCAAGCAGATTCACTCCAGTTTTGAAAGAAACAACTCCTAAGTAATCATTAACATGCTTGTTGGAAGAGGAAGAGAGGGGTGGGTCTATTCTTTTTTCTCCCAAAACAGGGCTCCCGAACCCACATGGGAAGTTTAACATCAGTTCCACCTCCATATGTGGTCTTTTTCACAAGTTTTCAGTGTTATTCATTACAAGTCTGATGTATTAAAAGTCTGTGACATGTAACAATCTGAACATTTCTTTACAGTATGATACTGGCATCCTGAACAGCTTCAAAACAAAGGATTACCAAATAAATACTGATGATAAAATGTGGTACTGACCTTGAGAAATGAACGGAATTCTGAAGACTGTGCCAAAGCCCTTCTCAAGCAGGAAAGAGCAGCAGGTAGATCGTCTGCGTATTCTTTGTACAGTGACAGCAGAGAATCCTGGGAATTAAATCAGAGCGAGTAAATCAATACCTTTTGCACGAGCCACAGACTAACTAGTTAGGATAAATTCTTCCACTTCTGGAATTTAATCTGGATCACTATCTCAGCATAGAGAAGCATTAATCAATGTGCCACCAGAGCTAAGTGAACACAGTCCAAGTGACAAAATGGCACTGTAGCTAAAAAGCTTTCAAAGGCACACAAAAAGAAAAGGACACTGATAAAACTATATTTTTAAAAACCATACAAATTCACTTAGCCTTTTAGGGCCTTAGTCCTTCCAGAAGCCACTGGAATATCTCAGTTTCAACCTAAAGTGTAAAGTGGCTTCAACTGAAAATTTTTAATGCAATAAAAATTACAATAAACAGAAATCACCACATTGTTGTTTAGGATGTCAAGAGCGTTAAGCATGTGACACCAAGGTGTGGACACACCCAGTGACCTCATAATGACAGTTTAAAGATGGCCGCCCTACTTCTGACATGCACTAGAGAGGAGCAGTGTTCTGTAAAAACCGTAATGACACGTAAAGAAAAACAGAAGATTTAGCGAGTAAAAACAGCAATATCATGTAAAGAAAAACAGAAGATTTAGCAAATATAGCATCAAGGGTTGGACTACAGTTAAGTTATGAAAAGACAAATATAAGTTATGAAAAGACAAATATAAGTTATGAAAAGACAAATATACTGAAGATACCTACAATAATAGATCAAGCAGATGTAACAGTGGAGACAAAAGTAATTAACATAACAGATCAATTTACTTATTTAGGTTGCAATTTTGACAGTGGAGGAAACATAAAGAAAGAAACTATGGTACACACTGGCAAGGCATGAGCAGGGTTTAAAATGGATCTCTAAATTGTATAGTTTTAAAATCACATTATATATTTTCAATTCTAATGTTGTTTCACTTCTACATTTGCAAGTAAAAGTTGGAGAATCACTAGAGACATGGAACCAAAGTTAAATGCATTAGAAAACAAACGTCTGATTTAAATAAGGAAATAAAATGGGATGAAAACAAAAGGAGTGAAGAAATAAGAGAAATGTCTGGGCAACCACTAGTATTAACAGTTATAAGACAGAGAAGATGGCACTACACTAGACGTATCCTGAGAAGAAACCAGTTGAGAATCACCAAACAGGCAATAAAAATGGGAAATAAAGGGATTAAGGAGGTGAGGACACCCAAAGAAACCCTAAGACAAATGGTGATGAGAGAGGCAAAGGCTGCTGGATTGGATTCCATCCATGATACTGAACTGATTGCACAAGATAGAACAGAATGGAGGAATAGACTGTGAGTCCTATGTGACATATAATGGCACAACAGAATGAATGAATGAATAAACTTACAGAGAGTTGAACCCAGGTCTATCTTCACCTACTGATTAGATGTTTAAAGTAAAACAAAAACCACTCACAGAATTGTAGGAATCTGTGAATCTCTCCAGAAGGTCAGCCACAGTTGAGGTGTACGTCCAATGAATGAGTCTGTCCTGCAGTCCCGTACAGATGTGGCAGTGATCAACGTACAACTGCTCCAGGTACAGGGGAAACAGAGTGTCCAGTTCTCTGGCACTTAGAAAGCCGGCCGTCTGCAGAGGGGTCAGGTAGGTATGCAGCAATGACCAGAGCTGTGAGCTGTAGTTTCTTTCAGAGTCAGCTAGTTCCACAACAGCTTTCTGTCTCTGTGCTGTTCACACCAAACCATCAAGTAAAATTAATGCACAGATTTTAACGGACATTGGTGTAAAACAAAGGAAAGACAAAATACGAAGACTATCTCAAAATCAACCTCTAATTAACTGATAAAAATAAACGTTTGCCATAGTGACACCATTTATTGTTTCCCTCATTCAGTACTCTTTTAGCTCACTACACACCAACTCATTGTCACATTTTTTTCAGTGGTTCCCAAACTGCAAATGGATAAACTTGGACACCGTCATTACCAGTCCTGCCAACTGTGAAATTCATGGTGTAATTTGTTTTCTTCAAGCTGAATTTCAAAATGCTCAGCTCTGACATTCTTTCTGCGCTGTTACAAAAAAAAAGGGGGGGGGGGGGGGAGGGGTTGAAAATGTCCCACTAGTCTGCTCAAGTAAAGCCTTTGTGCCATAAATTCTCATTGTCAAAATGTTTTCTTGATTTTTGTTCTGGTGTGGAGAAAGAGTGTGCATTTATTGCTCTGACTGTTCCTTTGTCTCTGCATTCATGACGTGAGCCCAGCTCTTATCTCCAGTCATTATTCGGTAGAGAAATGCATTCTCATATTCCCAGTAGTGCAGAAGGAACCTCAAAGCTGAGTATTCTGACCTTCTACTGGAAGAAAGCGAATCACACCCTGAATCTCACAGCTGGCGGGACAGTGTCCATGTTTATTCAATTGCAGTTTGTGAACCACTCAACAAATGTGACCGTAGGTTGATGTACGGTGAGCTAAAAGGCTACTGAATGATGCAAGCAAAGAATGGTGTTGTTATGGCAAAAGATTACATATATATATATATGGTGTGTGTGTGTGTGGATATAAATATATATTTATATGGCGAAGTCACCGTAGAGTGGGCAGCTAGAAGCCCGCCTGCAGATCAGAAGGTCATAGGTTCGCATCCTGACAGAGCCAGACTTTTTTTCAAAATTGACCTTGACTCTCAGGTCGACCCAGCCTTGACTGGGTACCAGGTGCAGTCCTGGGAAGTAAAGGTGGCCGGTGTGATATTGACAACACCACCCACAAAGTTCAGATTGGTCTATAACAATATAGATCTAGCCCTATATGCCCAACATACCTAAAGGCGTGGAAAAGGGTCCTTTACTTTATATATATATGGGGGGAGGGAAACAGGAAATGCTTCCACACAGTATCACCTAGCCTTGCTATGCCACCTGGGGGAGTCAGGAGACTCTGAATGAAAGCAGGCAGACTAATAGGAAGACAAAAAATGCAGAAAGAAACTTGAAAATGCTACTTTTCTTCTTCGTGTTTACCAGCTGTAAACTCAAGCAGACAATTCTGATTGTCTGACCACTTCTCGACCTCAGGACTGTTCCAGAAATTGAGCATGTGCAAATCTTTTTTACAGATCTGGCTTACCTATATGCAGCCTGTTGGTTCCACACCTCTCAGGTAAAAGCGCTCAGACTTCAGAGGAGAAGTCCTAATTAGTCACCTTTTAGGACATGCTTGTTAGGGGACAGTGGGTCTATTCCATTCCCTCAAAATGGGGTCCTGGAACCCCCACAGGGATAACATGCTAGACCAGTGGTTCTCAACCTAGGGGTCTTGACCCTTTTATGGGACGAATGACCCTTTCACAGGGGTCGCTGAAGACCATCAGAAAACTCATATTCACTGAAGTTATGAAGTAATGAAGAAAATAATTTTATGGTTGTGGGTCGCCGTATTAAAGGGTCGTCACAACATGAGAAACTGTATTAAAGGGTCACTACAACACGAGGAACTGTATTAAAGGGTCACCACAACACGAGGAACTGTATTAAAGGGTTGCCACAACATGTGGAATTGTATTAAAGGGTCGCCACAACATGAGGAACTCTATTAAAGGGTCGCCACAACATGAGGAAGCTGTATTAAAGGGTCGCCACAACACGAGGAACTGTATTAAAGGGTTGCCACAACACGAGGAACTGTATTAAAGGGTCGCCACAACATGAGGAAACTGTATTAAAGGGTCGCCACAACAGGAGGAACTGTATTAAAGGGTTGCCACAACATGAGGAACTGTATTAAAGGGTCGCCACAACATGAGGAACTGTATTAAAGGGTCGCCACAACATGAGGAACTGTATTAAAGGGTCGCCACAACATGAGGAACTGTATTAAAGGGTCGCCACAACATGAGGAACTGTATTAAAGGGTCGCCACAACATGAGGAACTGTATTAAAGGGTCGCCACAACATGAGGAACTGTATTAAAGGGTCGCCACAACATGAGGAACTGTATTAAAGGGTTGCCATAACATGAGGAACTGTATTAAAGGGTTGCCATAACATGAGGAACTGTATTAAAGGGTCGCCACAACACGAGGAACTGTATTAAAGGGTCGCCACAACACGAGGAACTGTATTAAAGGGTTGCCACAACACGAGGAACTGTATTAAAGGGTCGCCATAACATGAGGAACTGTATTAAAGGGTCGCCATAACATGAGGAACTGTATTAAAGGGACGCTACAACATGAGGAACTGTATTAAAGGGTCGCCATAACATGAGGAACTGTATTAAAGGGTCGCCATAACATGAGGGAACTGTATTAAAGGGTCGCTACAACATGAGGAACTGTATTAAAGGGTCGCCACAACATGAGGAACTGTATTAAAGGGTCGCCATAACATGAGGAACTGTATTAAAGGGTCGCCATTACATGAGGAACTGTATTAAAGGGTCGCCATAATATGAGGAACTGTATTAAAGGGTTGCCATAACATGAGGAACTGTATTAAAGGGTCGCCATAACATGAGGAACTGTATTAAAGGGTCGCCATAACATGAGGAACTGTATTGAAGGGTCGCCACAACATGAGGAACTGTATTAAAGGGTCGCCATAACATGAGGAACTGTATTAAAGGGTCGCCATAACATGAGGAACTGTATTAAAGGGTCGCCATAACATGAAGAACTGTGTTAAAGGGTCGCCATAACATGAGGAACTGTATTAAAGGGTCGCCACAACATGAGGAACTGTATTAAAGGGTCCCCATAACATGAGGAACTGTATTAAAGGGTCGCCACAACATGAGTAACTGTATTAAAGGGTCGCCACAACATGAGGAACTGTATTAAAGGGTCGCCACAACATGAGGAACTGTATTAAAGGGTCGCCATAACATGAGGAACTGTATTAAAGGGTCGCCATAACATGAGGAACTGTATTAAAGGGTCGCTACAACATGAGGAACTGTATTAAAGAGTCGCCACAACATGAGGAACTGTATTAAAGGGTCGCCACAATATGAGGAA